GGTGGCCTCCTGCGAACTCGCTCCAACAGGCTGATGTCCTCCCTGCGCTGAGGACATTGGAGCTGGACACAGTGCACATACGTGTGTGAGCTGCAGGTTTTTCAGAATTAAGACAAGCTAGTCTGGATTCCAGTAGCATTCATGGGGCAAGCAAATCTTCCCTGTCACTTATAACGAGTTTCTTCATGACAGGGACACTGGAACTTGCCAGGTAGCTGGTGAAGAATGTTTGTACCCTAATGTTTTTTCAGCCTTCAGGAGTGCTGGTTACTCTGTGAATGCCGAAGGCTTTCTCTGTCAACTGGGCCTTATTGCCCTGCTGAGAAGGAAGAATATGACCTTATCAGAAAACTGATTAGGACTCCTATGTTACAGTAAGATGCCCATAAAATGACAACAGAGAAATAATTTTATTCAGTGTACTAAAACTGAAACAAACAGTAGTTTAGAAAATGCACTTAACCACCAGTTCATTACACAGCAAACATGGCAAGTACTGAATGTACTAGAAAAGCATCCAACAACCAGAGAAGGAGAAAGAAAAAAAACAACAAAAAACCAGTGTGAGCAAGGTTAAGAAGCATTTGTGTAAATGGATATATTTCTGGCTTGGAGCCATGTGGGGAGAGAAAGAAATTACTATAGATAGATTCCCAGAAGGTGTAACAGAAGTTTCAGCAGGCTGTTGGAGGCTGAAGTATGTCAAGAATGAGGTTAGCAACTAGTAGTTTCAGATAATTTAAGCAGAGTCTGCTCACAGGTAGCAGACTCCACAGAATTCTAAACACGGAAGCAATTGTTGGTATTCTTCTACTACTTGTGACAGTAAGTATAAACATTTTTGATTCACTAAAAGAGAGAAGGACACTTCAGCACACATTTAAGGGTCCTGGCAACTTGACAGTAGCAGGCTTTAAATTCCGCAGATGTAGAAGTATCTTTACCCTGTCACTAAAACTCTCATCTCTGAAGGAACATTACCAGAATAACTGATCTTGATCAAATACAAGCTTAATACATGGCATATTCTGTTTTTTTAAATCCATAAGTAAGTATACTTTTCAAAAAAAATATTATTGTATTTTTTTGTCACAGGCACACAACACCACCATGTTCTCTATTCAGACAATACATACATCTATCCCTTTGTTTCCATGTAAAAAATATAGGGAAATATAGGCTTTTGGCCAATCTGCCTATAGAAACAGCTGCTGCTCTAGGACAGTTTTTTTGCATTATCTGTAACTCCTTCTGTAACTGAGCTGGAACCTACTCAGCAAAACGAATACAACTGTATGTAACAATGATGTGTTTCTGAGGTAGTAATACCTGAGTAGCTCTTAAAGCACTAATTTTTTGAACATTTCACAAATGTATTACAAATAAAAGGCAAAGTTGTGTACAAACAAAGGAAAAATATACACCATCTAGGATTAGTATAGGAAAAGATCATTGTGGAGCTTACAGCAGGAAAAACCTGCCATGCTCCCAAAAACTCAGATTATTTCTCCTTAATAACAGTTAACAGTCTTCGGCAATGTATAATTTAGGGATGAATAAAATAAGTTTTACACTGGAAAACACATTTCTCAAAGCAGCAGTTTTAGTTAATTGAATCATTATCTTTCTTCCTTCTTCTTCAGCTAAAGGATCCAGTGGTTGACTATAAAATAAGTCTGTAAACAAACGCCTTCAATTAGTGGTTATTTTGAGGACATTTTATGTTCTTCAGAAAAGCAAATTAATCTTTTCCCTTTTGAGATAATTGCATATTCAGGGTTCTGGGAATTATGGAAAATTGTGACTATTAGGAGGTGTCAGCTCTTTGTGAGGTGTAAAATTACACAAGGTACAAGGAGAAATCACCAAGAAACCCTAAGTGGACTCCTTCATAATTTATTCTTACAAACCTTCACACAGCACTTACAAATGTTGAATATAGTGTTAAAGAGGCAGTAACAGGCTACCATAAAGGTTTTCGAAAGACTGCAACCGAACAGTGAATGACAAAGATATCTAAAAATGCAAAGTACTCGTTTTAATAATAAAATACTATTCTTAAAACTGATTTTAGCCACCTGATCTGATCGCCACACATTTTGGGGAAAAATATTCTTCTCACGATCTACAACCTGACTGTCAGTTGTCTGCTATTTCATCGGTGTAAGCTCCTCAGTCTCAGCGATTTGGGCTGCTAGCAATCATTTCCATAATGTTTATAAGAGTTAGAAATGTCATAGTTTATGTGTGCAAAGCTCTGGATCAGAAATCTGGATTTTGTTCTTATTTCTGTAAGTCACCCAGATGGGTAACCTGCAAAGTTGCCACTCTATTCCTCAGTTTCTTCTCCTGTAAAATGAGGATACTGATATTCACTAGCTTTTAAAAATCATTTAGATATACATAGTTAATGATTAAGTAGTGTGAATTATCCCTGGTGAGTAAAACACAGCTGCTAATCCACTGACTGATTCACTCTCATATTAGCATCTTTATTTAAACATTCGCAAAACACTCATTTTGTCAAACAGCAACTGCAAAGAAGCTTTTATCCAGCACAAGTGTAATTAGAGTAGTAGAGAAGCAATGAGATTGTGTTCAGCTTTGAGCTCAAGGGACTATCTGGTATTTTAAGTTGAAGTAACTGAAGCAGCAGAAAGAGTTTCCAATTCAAGTCTGCCCTCTCCTGGCTTTAACAGAACACTGCTAATACATTTTGGATCAATGGTGTCTTTCTGTAATGAAGTGGAAGAATTAAATTAATAGAGGCTGATAAAATTTACTAATTTGGACCTTTAGTCAGAATTTAGATTTTTTTTTAATAGTAGTTAAATGATTTTTAGTTTTGTTTTTTAAAAGTCCCATTCTAGGCTCCCTGGCAGATTCATGTCCTTCAGGTTTTCAAAAACCCACCAGCATATCATTCATATTACAGTTGCTGCAACTAATATACAACATGGAAAGTAACATTCTGCATGTGACTTTAAAGAAATGTAATAGAAAAATTGCAGAAAAATATTTTGCTATGGTACAATTAATGACTCTAATATATAATGCTGTAGGTACTAGTCAAATACTAATTCCCTAAGAGACCAGGATCAGGCTAGTCTAATACTCTGCCACTGGAAGCAGCCTGTCCCTTTAAAATATGAAAGGAAAGAAGAAGAATATTTATTACTGTGTTAATTTTAGAAAGAATTTTCCATCACAAATACTACACACAAATAACTCATGTCTCAATTCAGGAGGACTCATTTTCCTTTCTATATTTAAAAGAGGAAGGTAATCGGGGTGTGGGGAACTATCTCAGTTATACTTGCTCACGCAGATTCATCTAGCGTAATTTCAATCCCAAGGTGACATTTGTGTCTGAAATACAAAGTCTGTATCATTACGTGCTGAATGATGCTATTGAGCTGAAAAGCCTCTGGTTCATTTATCTTGTAATCTTCATGCTTCGTTGCACTTAACAGCATCTAATCTCTCATGACTGCTACCTAAACTTAAAATAAAGGAGTAAAATATTTTTTCTTCAGATATGTGACTAATATATGCTTTAAAAAAAAGGGAAAAAAGTATTACAGAAATGGCATTTCATTTTGGCCATTCATGTGCTTGGAAATCAGGGTCAGGCTCACAGCCTGTGCCAAGTGTGCCTAACAGACTTCATAAAGCAGAACATAAGGAATTTCCACAAATTCTTTGAATGTCTTCTGCATCTGCTAAAACTCTTGCTTAAATAGCTTTCATGCAAAATGAAACTTTTAGGAGTGGGTGTAAGATTTTACAGGAAGAAGTGAAAGGCACACAACTAATGTGCCCTTACTGGTTTGGGGGTTTTGTTTGTTTGTAGACTTTTATTTTATTTGCTTTAGATAGGAAGCTATGCAAAAAGCTACTGAAATCTCATTAATCACTCCACTACTTACTCCTACAAATCACCCTCTTAAATCAGACTCCAAAGAAACCAGTATCTAAAATGACTGTCGTTCTGCACCTACAGGAGATTAATGTTTGAGATTTTTAATAATCCTAACTGAAAAGCAGCAGCATTGATTGAAATGCTGATAGGTATTTCCCTGAAAGGTCATTTGTTTTCTATGCCTTAGTGGAAAGAGTCTTAGATGAACTTACAGGCATGTGAATTAGGCTGTCAACATATAGAGAAGAGAAGATACACTTGTGTGTCTACTTGACAATGTACTGAAATTAATAAAATCTAAAAACATTTGTCTGGGCTAAATATGGGTTATAATTATGCTAAAATAGACAAAGTATGGACAGAAATTGTGTATGAAAGGGAAGCATTTTAAGAGACTAAATTTTATTTTAATAGAATAGTAAAAACTTCATTAACCATGAGTTGCGCTTCATTTAATCTGCTAGCACCAGACTAGATTTGCAAAGGAAGAAGAGAGCTTTCCTTGATCACCTTCTTGGTATCTTGGAAAGGCCTTAATTACTCTTCATTATAATACTAAATTACTGATTCTAATCTTCCATGTGCTGAAGTTCCCAAAGAACTTTCAGTGAAATCTGAACTACTGAAATGCAAAAACTAAAGACAGACATAAACGCTGATACTTTCATCTGTATTGGTTGGGTTTCCAAGCTCTGAATGGCAGCTCTTGCTGGAGCATCACCTTTAGTTGGCAGCTCACACAGCGCACTCTGATGGGGCTTGGCCACAGGAGGTGTGAACTGCTCCTCACCTTGTGGGTCATGGTTAGGCCATGCTGAGTTAGGAATATGACAGAAGCTCTGTCCTTAAGTTTCTGAAGTGAATTCACACCAAGTGAACAATGAAGATAAATTAATACCTACATTTGGTTTACCCAACTAATTCATTAAACATTTAGATATGAGTTATTCCATTTGTACATATACATGACACATTTACTTTGTTGAATGGCAAATTTTATTCAAGATCTGAAAATACAGATATTTTTATATTTCCAATAAGCTCTAAACTCTGTAATTTTTATTACAAGTTGTTAAAAACTATTATAACGACAATATGAAAACCTAGACTATGCTGTGCTTTAAATTCTATTTAAATTAAAGACATCCTAAATTAAATTTTAATTTATACTTTAAAAAAATCTCAATTTTAACAAACACCCTTCTTGTTTTGGAGGTAACAACAAAAAAGGATACTTACGGATATACACAGTAACTGGAACTATATATAATTTATTAGTGACTTAACACAAAAGCCAGAAGAATAATTTTTTCGGCAGAAAATGCACACAGACGTTTCACATCCACCTGACATATTACAACTTTGAGGTTCTTCTTTTTGCTTTACTACCCGTTTTCTCTCTGCTTATAATCAACGCTGTTAGTAACTTCTTGCTGTTGCATTTATCTTGTAAAATCTGAAAGAGTGCATCCAAAACCATTACTGTAAATCAGTGAAGCAAATGCTGCGCATCATTCAATTGCATTTTCAAATACTTCATTGTCAGAAAAAAGTTGTTTCAGCAGCACATTTATTTGTTGTAGTTGGATGTTGAGAAAGACTATTACAACAGTCATAGAAGAGAGAAAGAACACTATGACTTAAAATTACTATTCTTCAAATCTCAATTTCTATGTTCTATATCAGAGAGAAATATTTCATTGGCACGTGCAACACTGCCAACTGATTGCAAAGACTTACATTCTCAGTTTCAGGGTTGTTTCACCATAATACAATCCACTAAGGTCAGAATTAGTACAAAGGCAAGTATACAAAGCAAAGACTGTTTTGAAAATCAGAATATATTCACTGTTTTCCTCATTTTGTTTCAATCATAGTAAACATTTCCCTAAAATAAGCATTTTTTAAGTCCTTTGAAATCTTTATGGACGTGTGCTGTTAAAACAACATATTCTTAAGCAACAAAAATCTACTTGAGTTCTGTTGACAAAGAAAAGGTTTACATTCAAATATCTTTAGAGGAAAATCCTCATGGAGTTACTGAAACGTTCACTGTTCAGATGCTAAAAAAAAGAGCTTAATGTTAAACCAGAGAATGAGTGAATATATATATGTTAGTTTTGGCCTCAGAAAATCCTTTCATTCATCATTTTTGCGTATCAAGTATGTAAGGCATCAGATTATTGTTTTCATCCTTGGCCAAGTAGTGCAATCATAAAAACATGCATTTAAGAACTGTTGTGTTTTTAGATAAACTACCTATGGTAAAAGGTAGCAATATCTTTAAGTGTAACACTTCATTTTTCATTATTAAATGAAGATAGGGAGAATGGGAAAGTCACACATCAAACAACAGTAAAGTTTTGCAGCAGGTAATATTCAATTTCTAAGCACATCAACAGTTCTTCTCAGAGGTCTCTAAAAGCACTGGATGAGGTTCTTTGAATGCTGTCTCACCTCAGATTGCTGTTCCTTCCCTTGCCTTGGAAGCTGTAACGAAAAGTAATGATTGTAACTCAACTCCACTCAGCTTTGGTTTATTCTTAAATAAATTGTACAATTATTGTATTGAATATACAAATTTACTACACTTTGCTTTTTGTTCCTACCTCTCTGATAATTTTACTAATTTTGTAGATAAGCATCTGTCATGGTTTCACCCTAGTCAGCAGCCACACAGCCGCTCACTCACTCCCCCACCAGTGGGACTGAGGAGAGAATGGGAAGATAAAAGATGGAAAACTCGTGGGTTGAGATAAAGACAGTTTAATAGGGAGGCAAACGCTGTGCACACAAGCAAAGCAAAACAAGGAATAAACTCACTGCTTCCCATGGGCAGGCAGGTGCTCATCCATCTCCAGAAGAGCAGGGCCCCATCACGTGTAACGGTGACTCGGGAAGACAAATGTCATCACTCCAAATGCGCCCCCCTTCTTCTTCCTTCTACTTTATACACTGAGCATGATTCCATGATATCCCTTCAGTCAGTTCAGGTCACCTATCCTGGCTGTCTCCTCCCAACCTCCCATGTGGCCACAGCTTTCGTGCCAGCAGGGCAGTACAAAAAGCAGAAAAGGCCTTGGCTCTCTGTAAGCAGCAATTAACAAAAACATCTCTATCATCAGCCCTGTGTTCAGCACAAATCCAAAACACAGCCCCATACTAGCCACTAGAGAAAATTAACTCTACCCCTTCCAAAACCAGCACACCATCTGACAGTATCACTTTTCTTGGAAATATTCCATATCAGACAGTGACTAGAGTACATCCAACAAGTATGATACAGAAATTCATGTGAAAAAGATTCAAATTTGGACAGAAAATTTTTATGTGCATTACAGCTCTGCATTGCAAGCATGTTGTGAAAATATGTCTTCTTGTCTTTGTGAAATGACAAGGAACATTTCCCAGACCAGTGGTTCTGCAGAGGAGCTGGGATTTATTAGACTAAATAAATAGGAATATTAAAATTAAATAGAAGGAACATGATTACTAGGGCACAATAAAAATAGAGAGCTTGATTATAATAATGAAGTGAAACAGAATGTCCAGTCATAATATGCTACCATTTTTACTGACATCGTAAAGATTCAGCCTGCAATGGAAATCCATTAAAGACCTCTTCTTTATGTTCTTGTGTTATTTATACTGATTTACGGTGTAATCCTCAAGTTTGAAATATCTACCACAGCCTCTTTGAAACCTAAGTTCCTCCTAAACAGTCAAACTCAAACTTTCATCCAAAGAAGATGAATTTAATGCAGTTTCTTGTCAGTAAATTGAAGGGAAAAATCTCAGAAGTGAGAGTGGTAAGCACATAATGGAAGTCTGCAGGGATTTCCTATGTCGCGTTTACAGTGATTTTTCATAGACTTCAATGTGTCACTGCACTTTGTCTCCTTCATCAGCCTTCTGAGTTGCACATACTGTTGCATGGCTTTACTTTCTGGTGTATTGAGATAAAGCTTTCGAGGTCTGAAATTCTTTAACCTGAAAGGTACCATTTGCACTCAAAACCAAAAAGACATGTTACAGCCATCTGATCAAGTGACACTATTTCCCTGATCTTGAGACCGACACTCAGAGTTATTCAGTCATGTCTCTAAGAATCTCAGTTCTCTCATTTACCATAAAAATGGAAACGTGGCCATTTTATAATGTGCATTAGTGGTATTTTTTGCTATGAAAACACAGCAGTTGTGGAATTACTGCTAATTGAGTTAGGAAAACAGCAGGCATTCACATTCTTATTGTCCCTGTTAAAACCCCTGCAATTTTATTTCTGATTTTACTGTTATTGCTGATCACATGAAACTATGAGGCAAAAAGAAATTCAGAGAGATTTTTTGTAACAAAAATCTTTCAACACATACGGTATTACTAGTTTTCTTTTTCATTCCAGCAACTGAAGCTCCTGTTCTTATTTAATGGATATACCATTCCAAGTGGTTTTGTCCTCAAAATCCTTCATGGAAGTGTTACCACAATACATTACAAACATGGAGTAACATCCACAGCACACCCACATCATCTTACTTCTGTCTTTTCCAGGCAAAGCCTCCTCCATCAATTTCTTTTCGTATCCACTTCTTTGGGTATTACTTCTCTCTTCAAAACAGCTAATTTTTTCTTGCTCCATCATAGGAATTTTTGTTTTAAGGGTTAATTTTCATTATCTCAATTATTAGAATAGCACCGCCTCACAAACTTGCAGGAAGGATTATTGCTGCTCTCTTTCCCACTTTGGCTGAGTCAGTAGTTCACCAAAGGACTTCTGAGCTCTTTGACCCTCTGGTATCCTAGGTGCCACAGGAGCCAAAAAAAGGCATGGAAAACTTCTGGAGTCAGTACAACTACTTACTTTTTGCATGCTCTGGAGTTTTTTGTTTTGCTGTGGGGATTTTGTGATTTTGGTTGGTTGGTTGGTTGGGTTTTTTACTACAAATATGATCCTTTGGACAGCGTGAGACTATGGATGTGTGTTATGATGGAAAAAGTGCTGTTCTCCAGTCACTTTTCTTAGTTTACAGATATTTTTTCACAGCCTCAGTACGTAAAAGCATGTAAATCTAAACCAGTAGCTATACAGAATCAACACTGGTTTATTTGCGTACCAAACAAACACCCTTGTGCTATTATAGGCCACAGCACTGATTCTGTTTGAAGAAAAACTGGCAAAGAAATATTAATTTTCTTGCTATTCATTTCCTGGCTTCTATGGTTAAATCAAGGAAATAACCTACAAGCTTTTAGCCAAACACTCAAATTGGCAGACATGGGAAATGAGAGCTACTAAGTTTCTGTGCTCTGAAAATTATTCCTTGACACTTAATGCACGAAGGGAAGAAGAGAAAGAGCTGGTACACGTGACACACTTTGGTGAATACCCTTTCTCAAGAACATCCACAATAAAATTATACTGTGTCGCATGTGACACAGTTAAACCAGTTCTCAAAGGAGACACAGCTTTGGATCAGTTGATTAGTACATTTGACCTTCTGAATCCCACTTACACTAAAATTACAGGAAGTTTAAGGAAAAATACCTTATGAATTTAATTCTACTACAGTGGGTGACATTTTATTGTACTATTTTGTAAGAGAATATTAACAAGTTGTGGGTGGTAATGAACAGTTGTTTTGTATGTTTAGAAAGAACAAGCTGTAACAGTACCACAGTGTGGAAGCAGATCTTACTTGGCCTCACCTACACAGGAAAAACAATTTAATATGAACTGCTGGAAAATAGGTTTCTGCAGCAACCACTTCTCTTCCTTTGCAGAAAAGCAGGTTAAATAGTTTGAGTTCTCTTTTGCATATGACATTTGAGTAAGCCATTACTGACAAACGAATGTGCCTCTTGCACTGTAGGTGTTTGGTAGAGACCACTCATTTCTTTGTTAAAAAAGAAAGTACCTCAGGGCTTATACGGGCTGTGAGGTTGTAAGGACAAGGCCAATGTGCTGTACTGACAATTTTTAGATATTGGGTCTCTCCTTGTATTTCTAGTAAAGCTTTCATTCCCTGAATTCTGTGTTTCCATGGTCTGAACACATCGTGCAGCCTGGTATCGAAGACCACAAAACACCCAGAGCTGGAAGGAACCAATAAGGATCATCGAAATCCAACTCCTGGACCTACATGGGACACCACGTGGCTGAGAGCACCGTCCAAACACTTACTAAACTCTGTCAGGCTTGCTGCTGCGACCACTTCCCTGGGGAGCCTGTTCCGGCACCCAACCACCCTCTGGGTGAAGAATCTTTCCCTAATATCCAACTTAAACCTCCGCTTGACACAGCTTCGTGGAGAGCTTCACGGAGAGGCACTTCCAGTTTCACCCAGAAAGACTTTTCTCGTCACTTCACCTGCACCCTTCCTTCACTTACCAAAGGCGCTTCCCACCCTCCAGAGGCGGCGCGCGCGTACACCCCGAGAGCTCCGGAGAAGGAACACAGACGTGACTCCTGCGGGAGCTGAGGCGGACGAAGAAGACCCACAGCGTTTGCAGAGCCCCCTCACAGCCGCCCGACCCTGATCCCCCTGCCTGTAGCAATGACACGCGGCCGCGGCCGGCCGGGGGCGCAGACATCCCCCGCCGCCATCTCCTCGCCCTTGCCCGGGCAGCGCCGTCCCCCGTCCCCGCCCCGCAGCCCCGCCATGGGTCCCGCCCAGCGCACGGCGCCGTTACGGGATCGGCTGAGCTCCTCCTCTTCCTCCCCCTCCTCTCTGCCCCGCCGCCGGAATGCCGAAGCTCAGCAAGGAGGCCAAGCAGCGGTTACAGCAGCTCTTCAAGGGCGGCCAGTTCGCCATCCGCTGGGGCTTCATCCCCGTGGTGCTCTACCTCGGTCAGTGCCGGGCGGGGGGGGCCGCGCGGGGGGCGCTCGGCTGCCGTGGCCATGGCCGGGGCGGGTGCCGGGGCCGGGGCGGCCGGGTGGCTCCGCTCTCCGCTCTCCGCCCCCCGGCCCGTCCGGGCGCTGCCGCCCGCCGGGGAGCGGCGGGGGCGAGGAAGGGCCCGGCGGGGCAGGACTGCCCGGGCCCCGCGGCCATGGCCGCGCATGTGCGGAGGGGCAGGGCCGGGGGTGCCCTTGGCAGGGCTGCGAGGCGGTGAAGCTTCGTGCTGGGTGGTGGTTTTGTGGTGGGTTTCTTTTTTTCCCCTTTCCTTGTAAAGAAGAAGAGTGTGGCCAGCGGGTCGAGGGAGGTGATCTTCCCCCTCTGTGAGGCCACAGCCGGAGTTCTGGGCTCCGCAGTACAGGAAAGACAAGGATCTACTGGAGAGGATCCAGCAGAGGGCCACGAAAATGATGAGGAGTCTGAAACATCTCTCTTACGAGGAGAGACTGCAGAAGCTGGGCCTGTCTAGTCTAGACAAGAGCAGATTGAGAGGAGATCTGATTAATCCATATAAATACCTCAAAGGCAGGTGCCAAGAGGACGGTGCCAAACTCTTTACAGTGCCCTGTGACGGGACAAGGAGCAATGGCCATAAACTAAAATACAAGAAATTTCACCTCGTCATGAGGGAGGAACTTTTTTAGGTTGAGGGTGGCAGAGCACTGGAACAGGCTGCACAGGGAGGTCATGGAGTCTCCCTCTCTGGAGACAATTCAGACCCCACCTGAACACGTTCCTGTGTATTGTGTGCTAGGTGACCCTACCTTGGCAGGCAGGTTGGACTAGAGATCCCTTCCAACCCTAACAGGTCTGTGATTCTGTAATAAAGAGTTTTCTTCTCCTTTTTCTCCCTGGAGGCTGTTCCTGTGCTGTGTGTGCCCAGTGATGGGAGGGCCCCTCAGGGGAGCGGGCAGAGCACTCACTGGAGCAGCCAAACAGCAAACAGAGCTGTGATTTAACCTGTGTCAGTGACCAGCTGCTTCCTGTAGGCCAGGCTGTGCTCTGGGAGGAACAATCTGACAAGTGATGGGAGTGCTGGTTCATGGCACTGAGGGGGTTGCCAGCCTCTGGCTGAGGTTGAATTTCCAGCATAATGTACAGGTTACGGTCTCTCTGCCACCCAAAATGTGACTCCTGTTTCCAAATTGCAGTGGAATGTTGATGGGATTCCTTGTTGTCGTGCTGGTGCCCAGGATGTATTTCACTTGCTCCTGTCATGGGGCTGGGCAGGTGTCACTACCACGTGGTAGTTCTCCTGCTGAGTTAGGGCTGTGTGCCATCAGCTGTCCTTGCTAGAGAGCCTGACCCACTTAAGATAGGCAGTGTGCCATAGGCCTGACACTTTTGTTCACTTCTTTTATGACAAGGGGCCCCAGAAAGGTTGATCCCTGCAATTCATCTCGCTTACTTTCTACCCAAACTCATTTGGGCCTTTTGGGAAAAGTACCTAAACCAGGCAGGCATCTCTGCATGGAAAACAGACACGAAGGAGGATCGTGAGCTTCATGTGTTCACAGTCAAATCTGATAGCTTGTTTTGGTTAATTGAGGGGAATGCAGTGTCCAGTTTGAAGGGCTTTAATTGTTCATAGGTAGCAATCAGGGAAAAGTTAGTCTCTTCTACTGTTGCAGAAGTGCTTTAACAAAAACTACAAGCAAAAGAAGTCACTTCAAAAACTATGGAAAAAACCTAATTGGCATTATTAGGTTTAAACTTTATTTGCATTTCCATTTTTATTTTATTATTTATTTAAAATGATAAGTTTTGGGTGGGAATTTCAGCAGCATTTTGTGACCTAATTCTACTGTTGCTGAAGTTTTGTTTTGATTTTACTTTCAAGACAGTATCTATGGATATGGGAAAGATGTGCTTTATTCTGAGTGACATCAGAGGACATTAAATACTTATGCTTATTATATGAACTTCAGGTTATATAAAGCCATCTTACTGTATTTGCAGTTGCACTAACGTCAGGCTGCCTAGTACAAGTTTGCTATGTAGCTGTGAGAAACTCAAGTTGTAGTAGTTCAGGCTCATACCTCCAGAAAATAAGTGTGCTGTTCCATGTCTGCATCGCCTTCTTATAAATCTGTCTGCAGTACTGAAAGGACATTAAGTATGAGCAGATGGGAAGGGGATGTGTAGGTGCCGCCTTTGCTTGCCATAAACATTTGGAGGTGGCATGCATTCAAAGTCTGTAGGATTGAAAGACCCCTTCTGTACTGGGATTACCTTGGAATCTGGGAGGGAAGGTGCGATGCAGAGGAAGGGCAAGAGGCTACACAGTAGTTGTCACTGATTCAAGGAAAATTTTTTCATTGATCCCTGTGTATAAGAAATACATGCTAAACTAAACATAGGCAAGGAAATGTTCAGCAAGTTTGAGCCTTTAATTTCCTCTGAAAGGCTTTCCAGCTCAGGATAGGATGCTCAGGTGAGGTACAAGGGAGCCTGTTATGGGAATGTGTAATTATAGGTCATTGGGGGTTTTTTGTTGTATTTTTTAAAACTTGCTTTGAAGTGGCTGCCCAGGTTTTAAGTTGATAAATTAGATCAGTGTAGTTTTGTTAAACCTGGTTTGATTATTTAAAAATAATGGGGGTGGGGGAAAAGGAACCAGAAACATTCACACACACACACACACACACACACACACACACACACACACACACAGTGTGACTCGTAATACAACTTTATGAACTTTAAAGCTGTGTTGCTTGACAGTATGGCAACCAAACAGCTTGTATCAGGGTGTTTGATAGTCTCAAATCATGCAAGGTGCTTTTCCTGTGCCAGTGAAGTTAATGTAAGTTTTTCCATTAGCTTTTGTGGCCTGTTTCAGGCAAGATGACATAAATTATTTATTTTCTGTAAAGAAGGGAAATAATATACTTTTCATAAGTTATCCACTTCTAGATAGCCCATGTAGGAGGTAGTGTGTTGAACAGTGCCTGAACTGTGTGATTGTGAGTCAAGATTTTTAATTTACAGTCCAAGGAGCAAAGATACTTCATATATTAAACCTTCAGTTGCTTCTCCAGCATTTGTTTACTTTAGTCAGTTGGTATTGGAGTAATTAGTAATTAACTTTCATTTTGTGAGGTGTTAGTTGATTGATAAACATCTTGTTTGTTTGCAAGCTTTAGTACTATGTAGCTTTTCAAAAAGTACCAGTCAAAATAGAAGATTGGAATTTTCATTGATTTAACATTTAGAATTCTGTCATCCTAAACTGAGTGAATTCTTAATGAAAAACTTAAGTTCTACATCAGATATCATTGCAGGATGTTGCCTGTTAGGCCTCAAGGTACTCTTTTATACCAGGTTCAGGCATCTCTGTCAGTAGAGCCTTGCTGGGCTGCTTTCTGAACAGCGTTTAAAATCTGTGTGTTTTTGCATGTAAAGCTGTGTCTTGCTCTTTGGGGTAGATAACTTCCTCAATCTCACAGGTAACTGACCCTGAATTTTAAGTCAGGTGAAGATGCAGGTAAGACTTTAAAAAAAAAGTGCACTTGTATTTATTTTCTCTGCTTCCTAACCCTGATAAGAATGTACAGTTTTTATTCGTGTTACTGCACAGCTTCATGAATCACAGTTCTCTGTTCAGTAGTTTTCTTTCTAATTGCAATTTAATGGGCTGGATTAATTATATAGTGATTTAAGTAGGAGTTTGCACATGCATATTTTTATATACATGTATGTAATGTATGTTTCACTTCAGGTTTTAAGAGAGGTGCAGATCCTGGAATGCCTGAGCCCACTATCTGGAGGTATGTATTGGTTCTGCATTTACTTAGAAACCCGGTGCAGATAGTTACTGGTTTGAGTGTTCTCTCTGCACAGCAACAGTTGTGAATATTGTGTTCATCCTTTGTTTTTAGTGTTGTGGTTCTTGTTTCTTTAGAAATCCAAATGACAAGTCAGCAAAGCTCTACTCCTTGGGAGGGCCTTTCTCCTAATCTTGCATGGCTTTTTATATATGGAACTTCTTGTACCTTTTGAGTGGCAGCTGCCCTTCTGACAACCTGTTGTAGAGCTAGTTTGTGCAAGTTTCTGCACTGAGGAGTAACTTACCAGCTTTCTAGCACAAATTTAAAACACAATCTAATCTCCTTTGGCCTTTGCAAATGAGGTACTAGCACTGCATAAAAGCTGCAGGAAATAAAGGGCTGTATCCTTCAATATTAGTCACTGTCATGAAGCAAAGTGCGTTTGCTCATGTTGCTTTTTTCTTATGGGACGTTTTATTAGTGCTATATATCATGGCATTAGTAATGCTTATGTTCTAGTGGTATTTGAAGGGCTTCTATGAGTCAAACTAGATAAAGTTAAGAAGAAAGGGTGACTCTTCAGTTTGTCTTGAAGTACTTGTGATTACTGTGCAGGACCAGGTATTCCTAAAAAAAAATTGGAATGTATTATTTGCAAAACCATACATTAACTCTTCTGTCTTCACATAGTTACAGTGAATGGAAATCCCAGTTTTAGGATTCAGTGATTCAGTAGAAACAGTAGACTGTGGGGAAAAAAGTGTCAAGTTCATGTTACAATTTCAATAAAATCTTCAGTTGTCTTAAGAACTAAGTTGCTGCAGTTGTTTGCTTGCTGACAGTGTTTCTATGTTTTTCTGTGTTTAGCTTCACTGGCAGTTAGAGGATTTTTTTCTTGGTCCACTGAATCTGTCTCTTTACAGTGTAAAATGTATATTTCATGCTAGAATATA